GTATTATTTGCTCAGCTGTAGAAAATGAAAATACAGTTTCATGGAAAAGAAGTTCATTTTGTCATGAGATTTTAATATAAGCAGCATATTTACAATCCAGAAGACCTCTTTCTTGATATTATTCTAATGCTAGAAATGAAGTTTTGTGTTTTCCATGAGAACTGAACTAAAATGACAAAACCATGGTCAGTGGTGTTAATATTTTCATTCTATGTGATTTCATTTTATGTTATTAAAACATCAGCATCAATGGCTAAGTTTCATATATATGTTCCTGTTAAATGAGCCCTATGTTTGGTGAGCATATACTCCATTAAAACTGTGAATCCAAAGAGTTTTTTTTTTCTTTTTTTGAGAGGTTTTTGCTATAGGGCGCGTGCACTCACCAGAGAGACACAGAGAGACAGAGAGACAGAAAGCGAGAAATCATCTCGGGGGGTGGGGGGATGGCCTCACCACAATCCCTTCTCCTCCATTCTCCTCTCAGGATCTTGGGCACACACACATGCCCCCGGCATGAGTTTAAGCCACCAGGTCTGGAACTTGAACCACAGTCAACTACATGTGAGTCCAGCGACATAGCCATTACGCCAACTGCTGGTCCCTCCAATGAGTCTTTAATAAAAGGTTTTTATCTTTGGCTGATGAAATGATTTAACTGTCATTACCAGTCAGTAATCTGGCTCTATGTTTTGTCCCAAAATATAAATAAAAGATGTCTTTTCCATTGTCCCCTCAGCTTGGACATAGTGCATTTTGCAAGTTTGAGTGGTATGAGATGCACAAAGGGGAAAATAGGTCACTCTCTCCAAGGAAGAGGCATGTGTTAGCCAAGTTTGAAGGATGACGGAGCATCCATAGCTGAGCGTGGAGGAAGAGCTCTGGCTAAGACAACGGCACACAGATCCATGTTGGTGTGGTGTATTGTTTCAGAGGTGTGGTGACATGGCTCACTGTGACAGGCTGAAGGGTGCAGGGAGAGAGGCTGAGACTGGAAAGACAGTCAGCTGATGAAAGCCTTGGGAGCCTTTTTTCCAATGGCAAGGAGAAACCATTAAAGCCTTCAAGCAGAGAAATGACATGATCGGATATAAGTTTTAGAAAGATCTCTTTGAACGCAGTTTAGAAGATGAAAGGTAGACTGAACACAGCAGGAAAGCCAGTTAGAAAGCCATTGCATAGTCCAGGTAATGGTTACAGGCAGTTGCAGGAAACCAGGGGAGGCTGTAAGAGACTATTTATTGGGGCTAAAAGCAGTAACTAGTCTCCTGTTGCCCATTCAGTGCCTGGCACAATCACTCGTGAGTTTTGGCCCTTGCATAAAGTCTTGGTTAGTCAAGTGTGTTTCTCTGGTGTGGCAGGCCCTGGAGGCAGGGGCCTTCACCCTGGGCATGTTGTAATAACCAAATAACTCCTGCCAATTGACCTAATTTGATAGATGATGGCTAAGAGCCCTTGGTCAGGATTGAGAATTAGTATCTTACAGTTAAAGTTTTTTTAGGGCCAACTGGTGGCGTGATGATTAAGGCACCTGGATTCCACATGGCCAACAATGCAGGTCACGTCCTGCGCTGGATGTGTGTCTGTGTGCCCAAAGTCCCGAAAGGAAAAATGGAGAAGGGGTTGAAGTGTGAGAGAATATTGAGATCAACTCATCCTGCCAGTTTACCGCATATGAGGAAACTGAGATCCAGAGAGCTTGATAGTATAAGATGAATGTACAGGGCCAGCAGGTTGTGTGGAGGTTAAGACATCTGGATCCTACATGGCTGACTGGGAAGTTCAAGTCCTGGACCCAGCCAATTGAAAAACAGGTCAGGCATGTGTGTATTTGTGCCCAAATAATGAGAGGAGAGTGGAGAAGTATTCCAGCATGACCATCCCCCTGGGGGAGGGGGTGATTTTTTCACTTTCTCTCTCTCTTTCTGTTCATCTTTAGTGAGCACATGTACCCTATTTCAAGCCAAAAACAAAACAAAACAAAACAAAATAATATATATTGCTCCAAACTTACTAATGGTCACACAACATTGCTCAGCATAATCTTCAGTACTTCATGTTTGATGGTTCTTTAGCAGCTCCTTAAGAAGCTAGCCTTGGGCCGCATGCAGTGGCATTTGCCTATAATCATAGCTTCTGGAGAGGCTGACGCAAGAGGATCACAAATTCAAGGTCAGCCTGGCAGCATAGTAAGACCTTGGGTCTTCAAAAAAAAGGGGGTGTGAGGGGGCAGGCCAGCAGTAGCAGCTAGACTCAAGAAGCAACTATGGTATGGTAAAAAGAGCATCAGGCTTGAATCAAGAGATCTGGGTGCAAAGCCTAGCATCACCTGAACCCAAGACCTTTGCTGATTTTCATTACTCCATGCTCTGCAATCAAGTGCCTTACACATAGTGGATATTTAGTAACGTCATTGCTTACATTTCTCAAGTAGAAGTTCTCTTATATCTGTGTATAGAGCACCATGTTATAGTAGGCTGACACTTAAATTAGAGAAAGCTGACCGACTTGATTAGGCTACAGCTTTTGCCACCCTGGTGATGCCATAGTGGATTTGACAGATGTGAATGGCCAACTTTGGTCTCCTGCCCAACCTATAAAGTTTTAGTAAGGCCTTCCTGAAGCTGTGCTTTCTGCCAATAAGAATGGCCTTCTCTTCCATACCGTGGTTTCAAACAAGTAAGATCATGCTGTCTAGATGGGAGATGTTTTCTTTTTAGTATAAAGAAAATCTTAGAACCAGCAAGTGGTACAGTGATTAAGGCACTAGACTACCACATGGTCAACTGTGGTTCAAGTCTTGGACCTGGCGGCTTGAAACTCACACCAGGTGGGTGTGAGAAAAGAGGAGAAGGGATTGTGGCATGGTCTTCCTCCTTGGAGGGTGATTTCTCACTTTCTCTCTCTGTGTCTGCTCCATCCCATTTTTTTTAACTACCAGAGGGGACATGCACTCTCCAGACAGAGAAAGTGCACACTCCACAATGGGTCATGGTCATGTTACATCCCTTTTCCTCCATTTTTCCATCCCATCAGGATTTGAGATACACATATGCACATACCTGATGTGTTTTTCAAGCCACTGGAGCCAAGAATCAGACAATGGTCAGCCATATAGGATCCAGCTTTCTATACATAGCACTTAACCACTACACTATAGGGCCAATGTGGGCCAGCCTTGTACAAAAGTGTTTTAGGGCCAGCTGGTGGCATGATGATTAAGGCAACTGGATTCCATATGGCCGACAATGCAGGTCAAGTCCTGGACTCACTGGATGTGTGTGTATGTGTGCCCAAAATCCCAAAAGGAAAAATGGAGAAGGGGTTGAAGTGTGACCATCCCCCATGAGGGGATGCCTTCTCACTTTCTCTCTCTTTTTTCCTCTCTCTAGTGAGCACACGCTAGCTCTCTAGCAATTTTCTTTTTTTTATAATGTTGACTTTGTATTTCTTATTTCTTTGTGGACCTACACGCTGAATGAGCACCAGTCCAGGAACCACACTTTGAGTTGCTCTTTGGAAGTCTGTTGTAAGGTCTTGTCCTTTATTCAAGCAAAAGGGGAAGCTGTTGCAGCATTTTGAACAAAGAAAGACCTGACTAGAGGATACACTGCATGGGTCCTAGGGAAAGCAGCAGAGAAACCAGATGTGGGACTATTACATTTTTTTGGCAAGATATGGATGTGGCTAAGACCAGGATGGTATTGGAGTATTGGAGAAGATTAAAAAGTGGTTGCATCTGGATATATTTGTAAGGTAGAACCCACAGAATTTTCTGATAAATTGGATAGCAGGTGAAAAGAAAAGAATGAAGTTAAGAACTGAAGGTTTCAGGGAACCAGAAGATGGCGTAATGGTTACATCGCTGGACTCCCACATAGTCAACCACATTTTGAGTCCCAGACCTGGGAGCTTAAAACTCATGCTGGGCATCTGCCCAAGATCTTGAGAGGAGAATGGAGGAGAAGGGATTATGGCATGGCCATCCCCTCTTGGGGGTGAGGGGTGATTTCTCACTTTCTGTCTCTGTCTCTCCAGTGAGCACATGCTCCCTATAGCAACAAACAAACAAACAAACAAACAAAAACAAAAACTCTTAATTTAAAAAAAAAAAGAACCAAAGGTTTCAACTTGGATCATATTAAAGGTAGGTTATTATCAACTGAGATTGGAAAGTTGGAAAGGCTCCAACTTCGAACAGGTTAGTTGGAAAATCAAGAGTTCTGTTTTGTGTATTTTGAATTAGACTTTCAGTCTATAGGCAATCTAGTGAAATGTGAAACATTTAGAGTTAAAGTGGACTCTTAGTGCTACAGAGAAACCAATGGAGTCCTTTAGGTATACCTCTCCCCTATATATGCCTATATTCATGGCAGGAAAGAGTTATTGTATTTGCAAAGGTCTAAGGTAATCCATTTAAGAGCTTCCATCAATGATCACATCCTGACATTGAACTCCTCCCCTACTTGGAACCATCCCATATTTTTTACCTAGTTATAAGTAAGAGAAATATCTAATTTTGAAGATGCCAAAGTTGGATAACCCTAAATTCCACGAGACAGCTGTAGAACTGGTTAGAATTTAAGAGCAATCTGGCTGTATCATCTGCTACCCATTCGATTAACAGGATTAATTTGGTTTCTCTGACTGGCAATGGTTACAAAATTTATTACCAGGTCTTAGTAAAACTGAACCTATAACAGCTCTTGATATTTTACTGTTTAGTGGGAAAAAGGTGAGGTACACAAGTGGAAAGAGCTCATAAGCTGAGTCTTTTAACATAAATATGTGGTACACAGGTGCTCATCACGTGGCAAAGGTTAGAAGGAAGTACATTAACATTTTCCACGTGATTATTTCAGTAGAGAGAAGGTAAGCGGTACCTTTTCTCTCACACTTTCTGGCATGTAAAAAAAACAAGTTTTACTCTAGTAATTACAATAATAGTAACAGTAAATGAGTACAGTAACCATGTGAACTCATCCTTCTCTGCCTCACAGCTCACCATCTGCTACCTGGATATGCTGATGACCAGTGAGGAGCGCCGGAAGCAGCTGAGGGACCAGTACTGCTTTGAATGTGACTGTTTCCGTTGCCAAACACAGGACAAGGTATGTTGTATGGAACCAGATTAGAACACCTCCCTGGCAATATTTCAGTGATATTTCAGAGACCACTGCTTTAATTTCATTATCCAAATGCAAATGATGCTCAGTGCATGATTGGAAACAAAAATAAGTAAATGACACATGGTGGCCAGCCAGTGGTGTGGTGGTTAAGGTGGCTGGATCCCACATGGTCAATTGCACAGTTCAAGCCTAGACCTGGCAGCTTGAAAAACACTGGGTGTGTGTGTTTTCATGCCCAAAATCCTGAAAGGAAGGAGAAATGAAGAAGGGATTGTGGTGTGACCATCCCCCATTAGGGGTGCTTTCTCACTTTTTCTTTCTGTTTCTCTCCAGTGAGTACACACATCCTCAGCAAATTTTTTAAAAAACAAATATATCTTAAAAAATAAATGTATCTTACTCCTGGAACTTTTGGTTCCCCACCAAACACCATAGGTTAGGATCTCTGAGCTTAGAGCATTGTGGGAATATAGGCATTAAACATGTAATTCAAAGGATGTTGAAGGCCAGAGTGCTATTGGAGCATATTGTAAGAAGGTTGCATTACATTAAGATTGGTAACGGCTATTGCTCAGTAATAGGCTTACCAAGTTGTACCTAGCTTTTAAAATTTGTTCATACTTTGTACTGAAACACTTTATCAGATGGAGATCACTTTTCTATTACTCTCTGAGAAAGGAAAAAGAGCAAAAACAAAAACAGTAAGGATAATGAATGAATTTTTCTTATATCGCTCATACACTTTCCTCATGTTGAGCCTTTTCACTTTCAGTTTGCACACAGTCAAGTTATCCAGTGACATCCTATTTCTGTATAGTGTACATTGGTAGAGTTATTTTGTAATTATTTTATCTCAATAGTTATCATTAAATTAGGAAATGGAACTCTGAAAGGTTCAGACATATGCCTTTGGGGTAGGACACAGGGATAAGGGACAGAAACAAGTCTCAAACCCAGATATTTTGACTAAATCTAGTGCTCCTTCCACTGTTCCACAGCTGTTGGGACTTCTGGTGCCAATATCCGTGGAGCGAGGTAGTTGCTCTGACTGTATGACGAGGGACCATGAACTCATTCTAATGCAGTCGGGGTTAGAGAACATGATTAGTTCTGCTTTAGAAGAAGTTTTAGAAATATGTAATTAACTGGGAAAAGTTGAATCCACTGCTAGTAGCTCCCCAAGATTCAGTCCACTTCATTGTTAACTTTTTCCCAGTAGTAAGCAGACTAAATCATAGGGCATCCCCTGGGGTTCCTCCTCAGACTATAATCAGGAACAATAGCAAGCTAGCTTCTCACCAGTATCCTTTATTGGGAATCAAAAGGCTCTTGGATTTAGTTCCATTTAGGTACCATGAGTATGGCGAACCTTCCACAAACTCTTGAATGAATGAGTGGTTGTGTTTTATTAAAATTGGGGTCATGGTCACTTTATTTTTATTTTAACAGTTGAAATGTGAGCTACAACAGAATATTAAAAATAGGTTTGGTTACAAATAACAGATAATCCAACTAAAACTGGCTTTAATAGGTGGAGTATGTTTTTCTTAATTATGGAGAAATAGTCCAAGATGAAGACAGATACTCATAGCTCCCTTCATAGAACTGGAATCCTCCTGTCATCTTTCTTAGCCATCTCTGCATGTGGTTTCTGTCTTCATGGACCCAAGATGACTTCTCCCAGTCATTAGTCAACATGTCCTTCAGAATCTTTCATTAGTTTTATTTCTTATAAAAAGGTTTTTAAATGTTTTGTTATTTAAATTTGTTATCAAAGTTTTACTATATAGTTAGAAAGGTCAAAGTCTTGTAACAGTTTAAAACATTAGGCCCCATTCCCTCTCATGCTCTTGCCAAATCTCGCTCCCCAAGGATAACCCCTTTTGACTTTTGGCATTTTTCCCCCATGCTTCTAAAATGAAAACTCCCCTAAGTCAAGTGCTAGGGATGTATTTTGCTACTGATTTGGCTTAAAGACTTATTTCCAAGGCTTCAGATTAGTTTTTTTTCTTATCTCTCCGATTATTTCTGCCTATTTTTTTAAAGTTTATTTTTTCCATGAGTGAGAGAGACAGGGAGATAGAGATAGGAAGATAGAGAGCTGAGGAGAGAGAGACAGGGAGACAGAGATGGACAGAGAGATATAGAGACAGAGACATCATTCTCAACAGGTCCTGATGCCACGATCCATCCCTAGTTCCAGCTGGCCCTGGACATCAGTCATGCAGTTGTCAGACACACACAAGGAGGTATTCAGACATAAACCCAGATTTTCCCCATGTGGCTCAGCCTCACAGCGTGTTCTGCTGTGCCAGCATGTCACTGTGCAGCCCCTTATTTCTGCCTATTTTGTTTTATGACTTATTTCCTTGCAATGTATGCTGCTGTACTACTACCTACCTATTTGAACATCCTCATCATACTTCTTTTGAGTTTTTGTTCCATAGAGGTTTTTTAGTTGGAGGGAAACCATGTTCTTGGAGAGGTTTTTGCTATAGGGCGCGTGCACTCACCAGAAAGACAGAGAGAGACAGAAAGCAAGAAATCCCCCCCAGGGGAGATGGCGACGCCATAATCCCTTCTCCTCCATTCTCCTCTCAGGATCTTGGGCACGCACGCACACGTGCCCAGTGTGAGTTTAAGCCACCAGGTCTGGGACTAGAACCGTGATCGGCTACCTGGGAGTTCAGTGACATAGCCATTACGCTAACTGCTGGTCCAAGAAACCATGTTCTGATTGGGTTTTGTTGGTTATCTTCCTTAGTGTTACATTTCACTGTTTTGGAATTTCGTGTGATAAACTCATTTTCAAAGGTTATTGTCCTTCCTCTTCCTTCTGTGTTCTTTCCTTCTGTCT